TGGTATGATTGGACGGTTCTGGCCTGAGCAACCAGAACAACGGCATTGCCATTAACTTCGATAATAATGAAGAGGGAAACGACAGGTTTTTGGGTAAAGATAAGTGGCCCAATTTAAAATGTTATATTTGGGATGCCCATTAGGTAGCAAAATGTGTAGGCAGTTGGAATGAACCTTGTATTTCTCAAAGACTCTATACTTCCAGCAACTAGAATGCGGTCTTAAAATAAGAGATTCTTTTTTTTTTTTATCCTCACCCAAGGATATTCTTCCATTTTTTGTACAGATAGAGTGGGAGGGAGAGAGAGGAAGGGAGAGAGAGAGAGAAACATCAACGTGAAGGGACACATCGAGTAGCTGCCACCCGCACGACCAACCAGGGCCGGGGACAAACTGCAACCAAAGTACGTGCCCCTAGCGGGAACCGAACCCGGGTCTCTCCGGACCGCAGGCCGACGCTCCAACCGCTGAGCCAAACTGGCCAGGGCAAAATAAGAGATTCTTAATATTTGATGGGTCAAATGAATATGTGACATTCCTTCATATACATGTTTTAAGATCTATGCACAATTTTATATCCTTACATCATCACAGTGGTTAATATGAAACCTATTGAAATTACACAGCCTGACCAACTGCGTAAGCCAGGATATTAACAACCTGACTGTTTAGTATCTTCTTGTTCTTGGCTCTCCCAAACATTTTTAATACAGCTAGGGCTGATATTAAATATTAATACCAAGTGGATTGAAGTCAGCTCCACGGTGTGTCTTATTAATCTAATGTTGAACTTTCTTAATTTACCAATTGCAAAATATTTTTCTCTATAATTATAAAATGTATAGCACTATCAACTTTTCTGTTCCATCTCTGAAATTAAATTGTTTCCCACCCCCCACATGTTTGGAAAAACCTGCAGCCAGAGCTTTTGTTATTTTAGTCTGCTTGAATACATTCTAGATACTAGCAGGGCCTGAGGCAGTGTCTGATGATGCTGAATAGTCTTTGAAGGTTAGTTATTTAAAACATGTTCATTTGTTGAATGAGCAATAATGCTGATCTTCCTGGATCTAAATTTATAGGCACTATAAAACTATATGTCTATAAAACTTAGTATATTTATAATATTAAAAGTTCACAGCTCTGTTGAAAGATGTTAGAGACTAGATTGCTAATGCATTTTCTCTTATCTTCTATAGTCAAGCTTTTCTTCCACTCGCTATCCTGCAGTTTCTTTTGTCAAGTTCATCAATAACACACACATTTAAAAATCTGGAGTCCAAGGCCATAGTAATCAAAACAGTATGGTACAGGCATAAAAACAGACATATACATCAACAGAATAGAGAGCCCAGAAAAAATCCACACCTTTACAGTCAACTAATCTTTGACAAAGGAGGCAAAACATACAATGGACTAAAGATGGTATTGAAAAACTTGGACAGATGTGTACAAAAAAATGAAACTAGACCACCTTCTTACACTGCACACAAGAATAAATTCAAAATGAATTAAAGACTTAAATGTTAGAGTCAAAATCATAAAAATCCTAGAAGAAAACATAGGCAGTAAAATCTCAGGCATTTATTGTAGCAATATTTTTTCTGATGTGTCTCCTCAGGCAAGGGAAATAAGCAAACCAAAATAAACAAATGGGCCCTGGCTAGTTTGGTTCAGCGGTTGGAGCATCAACCTGTGGTCCAGAGTGACCCGGGTTCGGTTCCCGCTAGGGGCATGTACCTCGGTTGCAGTTTGTCCCCGGCCCTGGTTGGGTTGTGTGGGTGGCAGCCACTCAATGCATCCCTTTCATGTTGATGTTTCTCTCTCTCTCTCTCCCTCTCTCTTCCTCCTACTCTATCTGAACAAAAAATGGAAAAATGTCCTCGGGTGAGGATAAAAACAAACAAACAAACAAACAAATGGGACTGCATCAAATTAAAGAGTTTTTGCACAACAAAGGAAACCATCAACAAAATGAAAAGACAATCACTGATTGGGAGAACATATTCACCAATGATGACATCTGGTAAGGGGTTACTATCCATAATTTATAAAGAACTTATACAACTCAACATCAAAAAAAACAAACAATCCAATTAAAAAATGGGCAAAAGACCTGAATAGACACTTCTCCAAAGAGGACAGACGGCCAATAGACATGAAAAGACACTCAAAATCATTAATTATCAGAGAAATGCAAATTTAAACCACAATGAGATATCACCTTACACCTGTCAGGATGGCTATCACCAATAAATCAACAAGAAACAAATGTTGATGAGGATGTGGAGGAAAGGGAGTCCTTGTGCACTGTTGGTGGGAATGCAGATTGGTGCAGCCACTGTAGAAAGCAGTATGGAGTTACCTCAAGAAATTAAAAATGAAAATGCCTCATGACCCAGTGATTCTTCTTCTGGGAATTTATTCAGAGAAACTCAAAACACTAATTCAAAAGAATATATGTACCCCTATGTTCATTGCAGTGTTATTTACAATAGTACAATAGTCAAGATTTGAAAGCAGCTCAAGTGTCCATCAGTAGATGAGAGGATAGAAAAGCTGTGGTACCTTTACACAATGGAATACTACTCTGCTGTAAAAAGGAAGAAAACTTTATCCTTTACGACAGCATGGATGGACCTAGAGAATATTATGCCAGTCAGAGAAAGACAAATACCATATGTTTTCACTCATATGTGGAATCAAATGAACAAACTGACCAACCAAGCAAAATACAGACAGACTCATAGGGACCAGACAAACGGCTCTGGTGGAGGGGGAGTTTGGAGGGAGTGGAGGGATTGAGCATAAAAGATAAAAAAGAGAGAGAGCTCATGGACATGGACAACAGTGTGGTGATTATGAGGGGAGGTATGGGTGGAGTTGGAAGAGGCATAGAGGTGATGGAAAAAAGTTAAACTAAAAAAGAAAATATGTAGTCATTGTTTTTAAATTCTCATTTTACTTATTCTTTCAGCAGCATTTGATTCAGTTAACTAATCCCCCCTTAAACACTTCTTCTCCTTTATTTGGATCATGTACACTTTTTTTTAATACTCACCCAAGGATATGTTTATTGATTTTGAGAGAGAGAGAGGAATATTAATGTGAGAAAAACATCAATCGATAGGTTGCCTCTCAAAATGCACCCAACTAGGGGATGGAACTTGCAGCCTAGGTATGTGCCCTGACTGGGAATCAAACCTGCAACTACTTTGGTGCATGAGATGATGCTCCAACCAACTGAACCACCCAACCAGGGTTCACTGTACTTTCTTGGTGTGATGGTTAATTTTTTAAAAAAGTTAATTGATTTTTAGGGAGAAGGAAGGAGAAAAAAGAACATCAATGTGAGAGTGAAACGTTGATTGGCTGCCTGCATGCCCCCAGTGGAGATTGAGTCTGAAACTGGGCATGTGCCCTGACTGTGAGTCCAACCCAGCAAACTTGCAGTGCACAGGATGATGCCCAACCGAGTCACACTGGCTAGGGCGTGATGGTTAATTTTCTACACATTTGTCCAGACATTTGGTCAAATCTTATTCTGGCTGTGTCTGTGAGAGCGCTTCTGGGTGGGATTAACAGTTGACTCAGTAGACTGAGTAAAGCAGATTACCCTACCTAACATAGGTGGGCCTCGATTACCCCACCTAACATAGGTGGGCCTCATTCAATCCATTAAAGACCCTAAAAGAACAAAAGGGCTGAGTAAGACAGAACTCCTGCTGTCTCATGTCTGGAGTTGAAACATTGGTCTTTTCTTGCCTTTGGTCTTAAACGAAAACATCAGCTCTTCTTGGGTCTCGAGCCCTTTGGCTCTCCTAGCTCTCAGGCCCTTGAACTCAGACTGGAGCCAACCTTAAGCTCTCCTCAATCTCCAACTTGCTGACTACAGATTTTAGAACTTCTCAGCCTCCATACATGCATGAGCCAATAATATATAATAAATCTCTGTATATATTTGTTTACTTGCTTATAAGCCATCTCTCCCACTAGAATGTAACACTATGAGCACAGAGTATTCCCAGCCCTGGAATTGTGTCTAGCAGATAGTAGGCACTCAATAAATATTTGTGGGCTGTATGAAGAAATTTTCTGTATGTGTTTGGTAAGGCCTAAGACCAGTAGCTACTTGTGCTTGTGTGAATATTTCTTCATGGGTGCTCATAGCACACATATCTTATTTATCTCCATCCTGTAAAAAGGAGAGGAGGAGAACCATTCAACTATGACTCACATCCATTGGTGGAATGGAGTGTTTAGTCCTTGAGGATCTTAATGTCCTGTGTTTTGAAGATAAGAGTGCCTCCGGAAGGGCTACTGGGTATACCGTCATTTGCCTCATGAACACAATATACCTTGGAATCCTGTCTTGGAAGAATTTATTTTTTAAGGCTGTGCATTTTGCTTCAACACTTGGCCAACAACAATATACTCAGTCAATATAAATTTTCTACACTTAAAATTCTTTCCAGACTGGATTCACAAGTGCACATGGGTAAGAAAGGGATGGTTTCCTACAGCCTCTGGAACTTGTCTTCCAAACACAGTAACTAAGAGAGTACATTAATCTGCACTAACAACAATAAAGTTTTAGGGTCCTTTGAATACTGTTACATGAATATATTACTCCCTTCCTCCCACCATTATCTAAATTGGGTATTTTAGTGATGATTTATAAACAATATGCAAATGTGTGTAATTTTTTTACACTAAGATTTTCACAGGAGGGAGGTTTAATAAACTTTAAAAGTAAATGTATTAATACTTCAACTCTCAAATTGTAGTTCTATAGTCAGTCACATGCCCCAAATCATGTTTTTATAATGTGTTTATTTGTGTACAAAATATGTTGTAATTTACTGATACATATGCAGCAAAATATTCTATCACATACAACAAAAATACACCTTTTACTCTTCTTCCCCTGCCCTTGAAAATGGCAACACTGTTTTGGCAGTTCAGCAGCTAAAAATGAAATGCTATAATTCAGCAGTATTGGAATGTGTTCACTTGACAAATGTGATGTACAATTTGAGTATGCAACCACATCTTTGTTAGTTTTGTCACAGACCAGAAAGTTCCACATCCTGAACACTTCCAGAAGATACAAATAATTTGTATATATATGTACACATGTATACACTGTATATGTAAAGTGCCACCAAATTCCTTTGTCCTTGTGAGTTTGTTGTATGTTTATTCTCTATCTCTCTTTCTTCCTTTCTTTCTTTCTTTCCAAAGTCAGTCACACTACTGGTATCTCAGAGTTCATCAGCAGGCACCGAGAAGCTCCCCACAGGCTGGCTTGTTGGGGGTGTAATGTTGGTGAGAGGAAAGAGGGAGCCTTCAGACCTCACTGGGAGACCTGGAGCGGAAGGACACTTTGGACTGGAAACAGCCACAGAGCAGGAGCCACAGGGCACGCTGGATCTCCTGGTTGCGGAAGGCATAGATGATAGGATTGATCATGGAGTTGTAGGTGGCAGGCAGCAAGGTGGCATAGGTATAGACAGCCGGGTCTTCGTGGCTGCCCACCACACAGTATATGGCAAAGGGCAGCCAGCTAACGCCGAAAGTACCCAGCACCACGGCCAGCGTACCCACGCCCTTTCTGGTGGCGGCAAGGTGGGGTGGCGCCAGGCAGTGCTGCTGCAGAGCGATCTGGTGCGCATGGCGCCAGACCACCTGGCAGATGCGCACGTACAGGTGCAACATGATGCCGAAGACCGCAAAGAAGGCCGCGGAGAGCAGCGCCACGTGGCTGCGCGTTAGAGGGCTCACCACGCTACAGGCGGCACGCTCTGCTAGGCAGTTCCAGCCGAGCACCGGCAGCAACCCAAGGCCTAGGGACACGGTCCAGGTGACGGCGAGCAGAAGGTGCACGCCCAACAGGGTCCGCCGCGAGTAGTAAGTGAGCGCTTTGTAGAGGGAAAGGTAGCGGTCCACCGTTATGGCCAGCAGACTGCTGACCGAGGCAGCAAAGGAGGACACGAGGAAGCCCACCGTGAGCAGGCTCACAGTCTCCGAGGGCACCACGTACTGGAACACGAAGTGCAGGATGAGTCCGCAGCCCGCCAGCAGGTCGGCGGTGGCCAAGCTGCCCACCAGCACAAACATGGGCGTGCGCAGCGCCGGGGTGGACGCGATGAGCGCCACTACCAGCGCATTTTCTCCTGCAATCACCGTCCCCGACACGCACAGCAACACATCCCATGGATTAACGGCGGACAGTAGCAGCCCAGGCGGTCCCGCGGACATCTGCGAAGACAGCTCCAGCGACCCGTTAGCCACGCCCCCGCCTCCCAGCGCCGTCGCTGCAGGATGCCCCCATTCACTAGTTTCTCTCGCCCCTGCCGCTGTGGCCGCCACCGCCGCTCCCTCGGCGGTCACTGCCACCACTTGGGACTCGTTGAGTGAAGACGTGCTCACGTTCATCGCGTTCATCGGGGCCGGACACTGCACCCTGTGTGGAGAGGGACAGCAAGCATCAGGTCTGCGCTCAAGTTGCCAAGGAACTTCCCCAAGCGCAAGTGTCCGGTTCCTATTGCCCATCCCACACTGGACCTCGTTGCACAGCGAGGAAGCAAGGTTTAAGACGGCCAAAAATAAATACCTGTTGAATGAGTTAGTGAAATGTACACGGGTGCTCTCACGGATATCTGAGTTTTTGCATAGATACACACACGAATAACATGCACTCACATGCACACAAATTAATCCGATAAGGGTACTGCATGTGCACACGTATCCGTATGCACCTAGCTAAGGGTGCTGGCCTGGGCGAGCCCCACTCGGGCTCAGGTCGGCTGGGTCAGGGTATTCACCCAAACTGGGAATCGGGGTCGCTGTCCGCGGTGCTGAAAGCTAAGCTTCTGCGTGCAGAGCCCAGCGGGTCCTGAAAGCCCATAGACCCCTCGAAAGGAGGCTTGGGGGAAGAGAAGTTGGGGTGCATAGGTAGGGGAAGAGTGTAGGGTCAAGCTTGACTCCATTTCTCCGGCTTTGGGAAGGACTCGTCCCCTGGCCATCCTTCACCCCTTCCCCTCTCCACACCCTCAAATTTCCTCTAGGAGCCCGGCTGCTCACCTGGGGAGTCAGGGCTTCAGAAAGTCTGCGATCATGAGCGCTGTGGTGGGGCGCCAGGCTGCGTCCCCGGTTCGAACAGAGCCGGTGCCTGCGAAGCGGCCGGGGCCACAGCGGAGAGGAGCGCCGGGCTCCAGTGGTGGTGCGGAAGCCACAGAGAGTGAGGGACACAGAGAGTGGCAGAAAAGGCGGTTACGAGCAGCGCGCCCGCTGGAGATTGACAGGCAGGGTGCGGTGACGTCAGGCTCCTCTCTCTGCATTCGTTCTCCTCACCCGCCCATCACCACCCCCTTCCTTCTCTCCCCACCGAAAAACGAGGTCTCAGAGGGTTCAAGGAGGAAGGAGAAGAGGAGCAGCTGCTTCTAGTCCAGAGCCTCCAGGTATGGGAAGGGAGAAAGAGGAGAGAGAGAAACGAGAGAGCTGGAAGGGAAGAGGTGAAGAATGGATTGCACTGGTGAGGCAGCAAAATCCAGGGTCAAAGGTCACCAAGGGGGTCAGTCGATAAGAAGCCCTGGAGAAGGGGGACGTTGGGGCAGGGAGGTCTGAAGGCAGAATTGCTACCTTGAAAATTATAGTACAGTTTTGGGGACAGGAATGAATTTAAGGGGGGGTGGAGTGGAGGGATGAACTTTTTTTAAAAGGATGTTTGCAGAATAATGTGTTGAGTAGGGTCAGAGGAGATATACAGCTGTGGGGAACAGAGAAGATGGAGCATCTGAGGAAAAGAATCTCTTCGTTTGAAGGGTACCTGTGCCTTTTCTTTTTCTCCTGCCATTCCTTTCTCTCTCTCCCATGATCTCTTAAACTCTATCCAGCCGGTTTCACCATGATCTTCCCAGTGCAGTGTTTCCCAATTTGTGGTTGATAACGCCCTTGGAACTTGCTGTTTAATTAAAGACCAGGTCTGTATCTTGTTAGAAAATAAGAAAACAGCAAAATGTGATTTACTTTCCTGGCAACAGACTTTGCCCTGGTAATTAGTACTCTATAAAACAAATTGCAGGACTAAAATAGTGACAACTCAGCTGCACCAGACTTCAGTAGGCAGGAGTTTTATTTTCAGCCCAGATAAATTATCCTTTTTGGTTTAAAGGTGTTTTGTTAGTAAAATAAAAGTATCAGATGTCTTCTTTTTTAATCATCCAGAATCTTTGATAGCTGTACTTGGGCAAAAGCTAAAATAGTTGGCTCCATCTAAGGCTCTAAAATAAATGACTGCACATTGGCATGGTGGCACTATACTGAGGACACAGCCATGATTTTCAGGGGACACATGCTCTGGGAAAAGTGAAAATAGACACCAATTTGTTACTGGTGCTTCTTCCACTTCTTGAATCTCCTCTCCCCCTTCCTGGCTTCATTTTGTCTCTAGGTCCAGGGATCCAAAAAGGAAAAAATATATACTCAGACTGTCTTCACAAGCTCAAGTGGGAGGTGGATTTTTACCCTGGTCTGTTCCCTCTAAACATGGTCTCCAAGTCCAGACTATTCCTAACCTCCTGCCTCAATGCAGCTGAACTTAACTAGGAAAAAGAAGGAAAACTGTAGAACTATGCAATTCTTTGCTGCAATAGCTAGTGTTGGATCATAAATGGAGTTTACACACAATGTCTCCATTTGGAAAGTTTATAAAATTCTCACACCACCATTTTCATGAACCTCCAAATTGGCTGACGTCCTAAGTTTCTGAAAAGAGCCACTGTATTTCAGTAAAAAATTGTCATTTAAAAGCCAAGAATGTTATTTCAGAGCTCTCAAGTGAATTGTCAAATCACTATAATAACATGTTAATCTAAAATTTTCCAAATGCTTAAATGAAGATCTAAGGGGAGGAGAATCCTCCTTCATGTCTAAATGTGTTATATTTTTACATGCCACAATGCAGCAGAAAGTGTGGGATTGAAACTGATCAAAGACCCTGTGTTTTGTACATCGTTAGGTTTCCACCATGGCCAAGAATGGAATGATGTTGCTTGAGGGTTTTTAGACTGTCTTTGCATCATGCTAATCTGTGATTACCTCTCTCAGATGCTAGACAGGATCATGAGAACAGAGAGGGCACAGACTTTCAAACTCCTCCTTATCTCCCTCACACACACCCATCCCAGGGAGGCAGAAGCTGAGAAAGAAGAAAGGTGTGTGGTTCATTGGTTATGGATGGATATTAGATGAAATTCATTGCCTGCTCTGCCCATCGCTCCTCACAAGTACCTAGGATTCCAGTGGTCTCCTGGAATATTTTACTATAGTTCAGCCTATGAACCATATAACATTATCTACCCAAACTCTAGAAATTTGGAGGAGCTTGACACTTAACTCAAGGCGAGACAAGATCAGCCATCCTTTACTGATGACAAAATTCCTGCTTGAAAATTTGAACTAAGAGACATTGTGACAATAGTTAGTCAGTGTTGGGTTCTGGACCTGCAAGATTATGATAAATTAGGGCTGGAACACTTATGTTGAGCCTTGTGTGAAGTAAGTGATCACAGGAAGCCAGTGGTGATAAAGAATAGAGCAGATGCAGAGAGGGGAACAGAGATGAAGGAGATCAAATGACTGAGAGGTGGAGGGAATGACCTCAATACTTGAGTGTCTGGTTCCTGGTTCTGGAAGTCCAGATCCCTGAACGCCTTGAAATTGCTATTTGTGTCTCTACCACAAACCTTTATAGTCCTGAGCCACCTTGAGTGCACTTCTATTCTGCGAATACTTGATACTTGACTGAAACACACAAGTAAATATATTATTCACCCACTAGCTTGTTTGGTCGTAGTTATGTTTTGAGGTGTACAAAGTTTGGTTTCTGGCCTGTAATCACAGGTTAAATTCACTATTGCCAATTCTATAACATACTAACATATCACCTGGTATGTTCATATTCCAGCGCTATCCAAGCATGAACATGAGGAGACTTTCCTTATCTGAGGTTATGCCCAGGAATAACAACCTCTCAACCACAAGTTTTTCTCGGGTTCCTATCTCTTGCCCATCTCAGCCTACACCAGTGGTTCCCAACCCTGGCTCACATTAGTACTACCTAATGAGTTCACAGCCACTTCCCAGGTGTGCCCTCTCCTAGCCTAGACCTTTGCAAATCAATTCTGTTTTACAAAATTAAAGCTGCATTCAGCCAAGCTGTCTAGACCTTGTAAAACTAGGTCAGAAAGACCCATACTAGCAATTCTGGTCTCTCTGAGGAGACACACACACACACACACACACACACACACACACACTTCCTCAACTTGGTTCTTAGAGACAAGCAGCTCAGTTTCCCACTGGGAAGTATAAGTCTATTTGGTGGTACACAGATACTTGTGCTGACAGCTCAGGAAGAAGGCAGGTGCTTAGTGCAATGTATAAAGCTGTTATTAAGAAAGATTGTTTCTGAAAGAGGCAGGAATCACAAAGGGCCATTGAGTGCTCTACATTGTTTGTCCAGGTCTGGGGTGCTGGATGCAGGGTAATATTTTCGGGACACATGCTGAGACAGATGAATTATATCCAAAATATCTCTTTTTTTCCCTGCTACTGCTTGTCCCCAGGGTCTCACCCTCAGGCATTGATGGTGTGTCACAATACCCAAGGCACCTGTTTCCTCAGCATGTCCAAACACATCAGGGGTGTTCCTGCTTCATGCCAGGTAAGCTGTCTTAACTCCAAAGGGCTGTTATCCTGGAAGGTCAGTATCACCTGATGTTTTCACCAAATTTAGAAAAGCAGCATACCACCATTATGACCATTACGTGTCTGCAAGATGCAGAACACTGTGCTGGGCAGTTGACATGTTTTATTTAACTGAATTGTTGGTGAGCAACATTTTTTTTTTTTTTTTTGTATGAGAAACAAATCAGGAAAAATGATATCATTTAAAGACATATATGAAAATAACTTTATTGAGTTTCATGGAGAAATGTATAATCTTACAACTTAGATTATTGACATTGAATAGGAGAATAATTGCACTGGTTCTATTGCCATATTTGAAACGCAGAAGCAGTCTTCTAATCTGTCATGCCCTACATTTCCGAGTGCTTTGAATCACACAGCAGGTTCATACTCATTGTCTCATTTTATTCCCTGAAACAAGTACATGGAGTTAGGGTTATTTCCTTTGCAGATGGGGTAACTGAAGTTTATTTATTTATTTTTTTAAAACGTATCTTTATTGTTGAATGTATTACAGATGTTCCTCATTTTTCTCCCATTGACCCCCTCCTCCCCACTCCTGCCTCCCTCCTGCCTTTCCCCACACTGTTATCTGTGTCCATTGGTTAAATATGCATATAAGTTCTTTGGTTTATATCTTCCCACCTCCCAACCCCCCTTCCCTTTGAGGTTTGTCAGTCTAGCAACCAATTCGTACTTCTTAATCCCTTCACCTTTTTCACCCATTCCCCCAACGCCCCTCCCATCTGGCAACCAACAAAATGTTCTCTGTATCTATGAGAATGTTTCTGT